TTGAACTTTTTTATTTTCCGTTGGAAAAAAGTAAAAAAATCTTTCGATAGAGATGCAGAAGCCTGCGGAGGCTGGGAAAAATACCAAATGGTCTATATAGAGACCTCTGGTCTTTATAAAGACCAATTGGTCTGTATAGAGTCCACAGGTCTTTATAAAGACCAATTGGTCTGTATAGAGATCCCTCATTTTTATAAAGACCAATTGGTCTGTATAGAGATCCCTCATTTTTATAAAGACCAATTGGTCTGTATAGAGACCACAGGCCTTTATAAAGACCAGTTGATCTGTATAGAGACCACAGGTCATTATAAAGATAAATTGGTTTGTATAGAGATCCCTGGTCTTTATAAAGACCATTTGGTCTGTATTTAGAAATCGCAGGTCTTTATAAATACAAATTGGTCTGTCATTTTCTACTCCATCATCGACATTCCTATTTCTTACGATTTCTTCAGACACAAAACCCACACTTTCTTTTCATGTCTGGTATAATATGAGAGTCTTGTCCGCCATGTGCAAGTGATGATAATTTCTTAAAAAAAATCATCCAGACTTGCAAATAATATTTCAATATACGATGAAGGCGGGGGACCAGATCAAATTGGCGCTTGTGCCATCAATTTAGCACAACGTGTATCTCCTTTGGCGCATTGTATTTCATATACAAAATGAAAAAAAAAACCAGTAAGGAAAGTAGTAAAGTCGGACGGGGCCGACTCTAGGATACCCTTCACCACTATGGGTACATTAAACAGGACTATTAACATGAAATTGGATGAAATAAAATATGTGATATTTATCTAAATGTGAATCTACCTAGATTTGTCCATAAAGTGTGTAAATCGACTTCAAACAAATATAAATAGGTCATCCGGTTGACTATGTCTGTACTTCTAGAAAACGCAACTACGTAATTCTATGCTCAATTTTGTACGTTGTGCAAAATTTGATGTCAATCTGACTAACATGAGGAGTATGATGCCCAATTTGCTTGATATCGGGCGAAAAAATATATGTAAGCTATATCCACATATTAAGCGATTTCAAACAAACTTGTCACAGGTTAGGTTATACTAACTTTAGAACGTTTTGTTCCTATTGGTTCCTTGGTGCGTCAATTACATAAAATCAATCTATAATAAAATGGAGCTATATCTAAATCTGGACCGATTTTCACGAAACAAGGCAGACATCACTCTAGGCTCAATTCAGTACGTTATGCCAAATTTCGTGCAAATCGAAAGATATATAGCGACTTTGGTGAACCATTTACATGAAATCGGACGAAACTATATGTGGGAGCTATATAGAAATATGGACCGATTTTATCGAAACTTGGCAGACATCACTCTAGGCTCAATTCAGTACGTTGTGCAAAATTTCGGGCAAATCGAAAGATATATATGGATGTTGGTGCACAATTTACATGAAATCGGACGAAACTATATATGGGAGCTATATCTAAATCTGGACTGATTTTCACGAAACTTGGCAGACATAACTCTAGGCTCAATTCAGTACGTTATGCCAAATTTCGTGCAAATCGAAAGATATATATGGATTTTGGTCACAATTTACATGAAATCGGACGAAACTATATATGGTAGCTATATCTAAATCTTGACCGATTTTCACGGAGCTTGGCAGACATCATTCTAGACCTAAATGATTAGGCTGTACCAAATTTCGTGCTAATCGAAAGATATATAGGGACTTTGGGGCCCCATTTACATTAAATCGGACGAAACTATATATGTGAGCTATATCTAAATCGGGACCGATTTTCATGAAACTTGGCAGACATCATTCTAGGCCCAATTAAGTACGTTATGCCAAATTTCGTGCAAATCGAAGGATATATAGGGACTTTGGGGCACCATTTACATGAAATCGGACGAAACTATATATGGGAGCTATATCTAAATCTGGACCGATTTTCTTGAAAAAGGGCAGACACCATTCTAGACTCAATTCAGTACGTTATGCCAAATTTCGTGCAAATCGAAAGATATATAGAGACTTTGGGGCACCATTTACATGAAATCGGACGAAACTATATATGGGAGCTATATCTAAATCTGGACCGATTTTCACGAAACTTGGCAGACATCACTCTAGGCTTAATTCAGTACGTTATGCCAAATTTCGTGCAAATCAAAAGATATATAGGGACTTTGGGGCACCATTTACATGAAATCGGACGAAACTATATATGGGAGCTATATCTAAATCTGGACCGATTTTCACGAAACTTGGCAGACATCATTCTAGACCTAAATGATTAGGCTGTACTAAATTTCGTGCAAATCGAAAGTTATATAGGGACTGTTTACATTAAATCGGTTAAATATATATATGGGAGCTATATCTAAATCTGAACCGATTTTTCCCAATTTCAATAGGGTTCGTCCTTGGGCCAAATAAGTGACCTATGCCAAATTTCATCCAATTCGGATCATAAATGCGACCTGTACTTTGTTTACAATTTAACATGGACAGACGGACGGACGGACGGACGGACGGACAGACGGACATGCGTAAATCGACTCAGAAAGTGATTCTATGCATATTCTCAAAAGGAACCATGGGTCTATCTCGATTATTTTTGCCTGTTACAAACATATGCACAAAGACATAATACCCTGTACCACAGTGTGGTGAAGGGTATAATCAACAACGTCATCGAAAAAAAAACTGCATGTCTTACAAGGTTCTATTATGTTCACGGCTGTGAACATAATATATTTTATAATACATTTGACGCAGAAGAAGACGACGACTACGACTAATGGCCTTCTCGTGGATGTCCATCGTGTTTTGGTGGTGTACTATTCTGTCATATCATCATGAATTTATGGTGAATATTTAAATTTTCATTTTTGAAATCTTGAAGAAATAGCCAACATATATGTACTTGACGACATATTGTTCCGAAGTTTCATTTCATCTAGACACATTGGCATTGAATTACATATATACATGCCTGCATGCATGTATACTCACATGTGTCACTGACTGAAAGTGCATTTTTTTGTTGGTTTTATTTAAATTTGAATACCTTCTACCTTCAGCTCGTATAGAGACTCCCCTCAGTTCTTCTATAGGGACTCCCCTCAGCTCGTCAATAAAGACTCCCTTCAGCTCGTCTATAAAGACTCACTTCAGGTCGTCTCTCGACCACTGTGCTTAATCACCGTTTAAAATATGACTCAGAAGATCACTCTGAAAGGTTCAGGACAAATTGGATTAACATAGAAAGATTTTACTAAAGAAAGTTATTTCTAAAATAAAAATAATGATAAGAAAAAATCGGACTTCTAGGTACCACAAGAAGATAATTTAGATGATTCATTTCAAATTTCAATTTGAGGTTGATAACTCTGTCTAACCTTTAGCCAAAGGTTATGTGTTTCTGTTTATAATTTCCTTTTCAAATTAGAAACAAATTACATTACACAAAAAAAAAAAAAACAAAAATACGAAATCTGGTCATTGTAATGGAATTATTTGAATGACTTGTCTTAAAAATTGTAATAAAAATTAATTATATAGAACAATTATTGTTGTTGTTGTGATGATACTGTTTTTTCAATTGATTGATAAATCAATGTCCTTCCTTCTCAGAATGTAAGGGAAATTATAGAATATATATATATATATATATATATATATACGTAGTATTACATGTGTGTACACTTATAATGACCACGTTGCAAAAATATGTATTTTTCCTTATCACACATTTTTCTGCTCTCCAAAAAGGCCACTGATTCAATAATAGACTGTACTATATTGTTGTATTTTAATTACATACATACAATTTATAATTATATACGTATATGCATGTACACATATAAATGAAATGGAATTTTAGTAATTATTGTCGTTGAACTTTTTTTATTTTCCGTTGGAAAAAAGTAAACAAATCTTTTGATAGAGATGCAGAAGCCTGTGGATGCTGGGTAAAAATAGCAAATGGTCTATATAGAGATCTCTGGTCTTTATAAAGACCAATTGGTCTGTAAAGAGTCCACAGGTCTTTATAAAGATAAATTGGTTTGTATAGAGACCATTTGGTCTGTATTTAGAAATCGCAGGACTTTATAAATACAAATTGGTCTGTCATTTTCTACTCAATCATCGACATTCCTATTTCTTACGATTTCTTCAGACACAAAACCCACACTTTCTTTTCATGTCTGGTATAATATGAGAGTCTTGTCCGCCATGTGCAAGTGATGATAATTTCTTAAAAAAAATCATCCAGACTTGCAAATAATATTTCAATACACGATGAAGGCGGGGGACCAGATCAAATTGGCGCTTGTGCCATCAATTTAGCACAACGTGTATCTCCTTTGGCGCATTGTATTTCATATACAAAATGAAAAAAAAAAATTCAACAACGTCATCGGAAAAAAACTGCATGTCTTACAAGGTTCTATTATGTTCACGGCTGTGAACATAATATATTTTATAATACATTTGACGCAGAAGAAGACGACGACTACGACTATGGCCTTCTCGTGGATGTCCATCGTGTTTTGGTGGTGTACTATTCTGTCATATCATCATGAATTTATGGTGAATATTTAAATTTTCATTTTTGAAATCTTGAAGAAATAGCCAACATATATGTACTTGACGACATATTGTTCCGAAGTTTCATTTCATCTAGACACATTGGCATTGAATTACATATATACATGCCTGCATGCATGTATACTCACATGTGTCACTGACTGAAAGTGCATTTTTTGTTGGTTTTATTTAAATTTGAATATACACATGAAGCTTCTTATTTTTGTCTAACTATGTTTTATACAGAGTGTGAAATTTTGAATGCGCGTGCGATTACTCGTGTTGCAGATTTCCCAAAACTTTTTTATATGTATATTTTGTTTATTATTCTTGAACATTTGCAACAAATGTTTATTTACGTTTTTATTTGAAAAAAAAAATTCTAATCTTGTATGTTTTTTTTTCTTTCCTTACAGATAAAATGTGCGATCAGATTAGTGACGCCATTTTGGATGCCCACTTAAAACAAGATCCCGATGCCAAAGTTGCTTGCGGTAATTGATATTTAATCATTTTTTCGCGTAACAAAGTCATGGTCATGATTTTCTACAACAATATTATGTTTATGCTGTTTGTTGGTGCTGCGTTCAATTTAGAAACCTTTCTGTCGACTTTTATAATTTTGTGAAAGACTTGCGATCGTAGTTAACATTGATAAAAATGGATTTTCCTCATTATTTTCCTTCTTTGAGAATTGTTCTGCATTGCCTGAAAATGAAGCAATATTTTCAAATTTGTCGTGAAAATATTTTTTGCCGGTTAGAGTATTCCAGAAAGAAATTTGGGAAATTGCCTCGGAAATTAAACAATATTCTCACAAAGTTAACTCAACGATTGGTCTGTACATAGGAACCACTTTCGTCAATTGTTCTGTATAGATACCACAGGACTTTATTAAGTTCAATTGTTTTGTATTTATAAACCACAGATCTATATAGAGATCAATTGGTCTGAAACTATAGGTCACAGGTCTTTACAAAGGCCAATTGACCATAACGATGTATTTTCAAAGTTGATGTGGAGAGATTTTTGGTTTGCTACGGAAAGAACAATTGCTTTGGAAATTAAACAATTTTCTTACTATTTGATATCAGAATGTATGAGGGTTAAACACAATATTAATTCAATAATTAGTCTTTATAAAGACACCACATGTCTTTTTAGAGAGTATTTGATCTTTATATAGAGGCCACAGGTTCTTAAAAGGACCAATTGGTCTGTATAGATATCCCTAGTCCAATGACTAATGGTTTGACGTATACCAAGTGCAGTATATCTAGAGTCATCAATAGATTCCCAATCTATAGTAAGGTCAGGATAAAAGTGCCCTTAGTAGATCAGAATGTAATAGGTATTCTCATAGAAAACCAGGAGGTATACTCATAGAAGACTAGAATGTATCCTCATAGACGGTTTCTCTTAGACGAATAAATTATTATCCCCACGTGGGGCCAGGTTTTCTCATAGGCCATCAGAAATTCTCATAGAAAACCATATTGTCTTTCTAAAGATCTTTTCATAAATGACCAGGAAGTCTCCTTATAGAAGATAATATATATATATATATAATCTAATTTATCTTCTAATTGAAGATCAGAATGTCTTCTCATTGAAGATCAGAAATCATTCTCATAGAAGACCAGGATGCATTTTAAAAGTAGATCGGGATGTCTTCTCTAAGAAGACAGGGATATCTTCTCTAAAAAGAAAAGAAGGTCTTGTCATTGAAGAGCAGTAGGCCTTTAGAAGATCTCATAAATTATAGGATGTCTTCTCATAAATGTCATTAAGACTATAGAATGCCAGAACGTTTTCTCTTCATATAGAAGACCAAAATATGTTTTCATAAATGACCAGGAGGTATCCTTATAGAAGATCAGAAGGTCTTCTAATTGAAGATCAGAATGTCTTCTCATTGACGATCAGAAATCATACTCATAGAAGACCAGGATGCATTTTAAAAGTAGATCGGGATGTCTTCTCTAAGAAGACAGGGATGCCTTCTCTAAGAATAGAATACAAGAATGTCTTTTTATTGAAGATCCTGAGGTCTTCTCATAAAAGATCGTAAGGTCTTCTCATTTTCATAGAAGACCAAAGAATCATCTTTTTGAAGGCCAGAAGATTTTCCAATAGAAGATCAGAATTTTTTCTCATTAAAAATCAGGAGGTGTAAAAATAATGTAAAAAACTTCTTCTCATAGAAGAAGCAAAGTTCGTTTCATATTAAATCAAAAAGATTCCTCATAGAAGGTCCAAAGTTCTTCCTATTAAATATGATAAGAAGAGTAAAAATGGTGTAGATAAGAAAAGCCATAAGAAAAACTTCTGGCAACAAAACCATATAATATAAGACCAATAACGTATGCCCATAGAAGATTATCAGCCTTCTGTCTTTATACAAACCCAAAGACATCCGCAATATACAGCCTTCAAGCTCATGGTGTAGAGTAAATAAAACTGCTCCGCTATTACTTTATTTAGCTTCAAATTACGCTGTACTTTAAATCTCTTTTTCTTTTTTTTTTGCTCTTTACTTTGAATCTGATTTAGGGATATCAAATTTGTTTCTGGTCTCCGGGCGGCAATTAAAATCAATTGGCGTCTGACTTCTGATTCAAAATTTATTTAGCAGCTTTTTTTAAACAAATAAACATAACTTGGTCCTTTGTGTTTTGATAAAGAACCAAATTTCTTTTGATTATTTTTTTGATATTGATACATATCATGATCATGACAAAAAGCGTGTGCCTCTAGCTTCTTGACTTAAAATAAACAAATTTTGTAATATTTCTTCTTCTTGGTTTTATTATTTTTCTATAGAAACCGTGGCTAAAACTGGTATGATTTTGTTGTGCGGTGAAATTACCTCCAAAGCTGTTGTGGATTATCAAAAAGTTGTACGTGAAACAGTTAAACACATTGGTTACGATGATTCCTCAAAGGGTAAGTAATTCAGAAGAGACATGAGACGAATTGAGACGATTTTTATAGGAAAACGTGAACAAAAAGTTTTTTAAAGGGGGATTAGTCCATTTTGTTATTATTTTTTTTTTTTTTTGAAATTTTTGTTTATTTATTTCTCTATAATTTTTACCCACCTTCCCCACTCCTTATTTCGTAAACAACAAAATTAAAGGCTTCGATTGGAAAACATTAAATTTACTTGTTGCACTTGAACAACAGTCTCCTGATATTGCCAATGGTGTCCACGTTAATCGCGATCAAGAAGATGTCGGCGCTGGTGATCAGGTATTTTGTGTTTTTCTCAATTTCTCTTTCTCCTTGTTGTTGTTGTAAAAAAAAAAACAAAACGTCATCCATTGTATATCCTATTTCTCTACCAAATAAGAATTTTTGTTCGTTCGTTATGGCGCCATTTCAAAATTTTATTTATTTTTTGCTCTTATTATTTTTTATTTATCTAAATTTTTTATGTTCGTTAACATCCATGGTTGGCAAAATTCATTACAAAATTCTGTTTTTTTTTTTCTAAATTTCTTTGACCAATATTCACTAATATTAATAAACAACAATAACTAATCCATTAAACCAACTATAGATTTGAAAAAAAATGGGAATGAAAATTCATCAACATCTTTATTTTATTTATTTAAAGAGTGAAAAAGAAATTTAATGAGCTCATAAATGTGGATAATTATAAAATCGAAATTTGAGCAGTGTTTCTTAAAGAAAAATCCAAGCTGAGATGAACTTCTGGTCCTCGGTATGAAGATCGTCTGGTTTTTTATGTCCCATAAAAAACTGTTTTTGGTATCATTTTTAAGGACCTTCAAAGTTTCTATGAATTATTCTGATATTCCAGAGGACTTAAAAAATAACTTGCAGTCTTCTACGAGAATACCCTCTAACTTTTGTCAGAAGACCTAATTCGCGATGAGAAGTATTTTTTGCTTTCCTTTTCTTTGTGAGATCTTTTTGTTTTCTATATCTATCTATCTAGTCTTCTATGAAAAAAATGTTGGTCATATTTTCTTCTATGAGAAGACGTCTGGTTCTCTACCAGAAAACTTAGACTTCTAGAAAGCCTAGTCTTCTATGAAAATTCTTTATGACCATGTTTTCTTCTATGAGAATACATTTTTGTTCTCTACGAGAAACCTCTGGTCTTCAGAGAGAGGCATTTTGACCCTTGTGGTATTCTACAAATAGCCCTTCTGGGGGTTTTGAATTTAGCTTCGTGTCTTCAATGAGAAAACATTTGAAATTCTATTTCTCTTTGGTCTAGTATAGAAAGATTTTCTGGTCTTCAAAAGGTAGTCCTTCTGGGTTCTAAATACTTTTTGGTATTTTCGTGAGTAGACCTGGTCGTCTGCCAGACTGAAGTTTCTTCTTCTGGTATGCTTCCTCCTGAATTTATTCTGGTCTTTATAAGAAATCCTCGTGAAAGAAATCTTCCGTTGATTTCTTCTATGGGAAGACTTTTTGGTTCTCTACCAGAAAACCTAGTCTCCTAGATGACCTCCTGGTTTTATGACAGAATACACCATTGTTTCCAATAAGAAGATATCGTTTTGGCCCTTTATATGAAGACCTTCGAATCTTCTATAAGGATACTGTCAATCTTTCATGGTTTTCTATGAGATGACTTCCCTCTATAAGAAAAGCTCCTAATGGTTTTCTATGACTCCAATAGGAAGACATCGTTTAGCCCTTTATAAGAAGTCCTACAAATCGTCTATAAGGATAAATCCTGCTTTTCACGGTCTTTTATGACAAGACTCTTTCTTTGAGAAGACTTTCTGGGTGGTCTTTATGGACTTCAATTTATAAAAATATGTCCTAATGGTCTTTTATGAAAATATAGAGTATAGTATAGTATACAGTAGCCTTTTTGAGAAGATCTATTTTAATATTGGGCTTCCACGAGAATACCTTCTGATCTTCTGGAGAAGGTCTATTTTTGAGAAGACTTTCGGATGGTCTTGTGGACTTCTATATTAGAAATCATTTGAGTTTCTATGAGAAGAATCTTCTGTGAGAAGGTCTACGCTTGGGAGATCGCCTGGTTTACAGGAAAGGGCTTTGTTTACTTCAATTAATAAAAATAGGTTCAAATGGTATTCTATGAGAATATAGAGTAGTCTTTCATGAGAATGCCTTTTGTTTTTCAATGAGAAGATCTATTTTTATACTGGGCTTCCACGATAATACCTTCTGATCTTCCAGAGAAGCCCTTTTTTGGGAAGACTTTCTGGAAGTTTATTTTTGTTGTCTTTGAGAAGACGACCTATTGGGATTGGAAGATCCCGTGGTTTATAAGAAGACTTTTGCGGACTTGAATTTATAAAAAATAGGTCCTAATGGTCTTGCACGAGAATATAGAGTAGCCTTTCATGAGATCTTTTGTTTTTCAATGAGAAGATCTATTTTTATACTACGATACAACTTCCTGGGCTTCTGCGAGAATACCTACCTTCTGGTCATCCAGAGAAGGTCTTCTTTGGAAGGTCTTCTATATAAGGTGTTCTATATAAGAAATCATTTGTGTTTCTATAAGAATGTATTTTTATTGTCTTGGAGAAGGCGACCTATTACTCTTGGAAGGCCTCCTGATCTATAAAAAATTATTTGTGTTTCTATAAAAATGTATTTTTGAATATATATTTTTATACTACGAGACAACCCTCCTGGGCTTCTACGAGAATCCATCCTGATCTGCGAGAAAGTTTTCGTTGAGAAGACTTTGGTTTTCAACATTAGAAACCCTTTGTGATTCTATGAGATGGGATCTTGTATTAGAAGTTATTATTCTTTTTTTTTTGAGAAGAAGTCATATTACTCTTAAAATATTCCCTTGGCCTGTAGGCCTGTCTCTTATATGAGAAATCCTTTGTGTTTTTATCATAAGGGGTCTTCCGTTCGAAGGTATTTTTGTTTTCTTTGAGGTTTTTTGTTTTTCTTGGAGATAGACCTCCTGGTCAATAGAAACATATACTAATATTCTCAATCTTTAGAAACATTGCTCAAATTTTTGTTTTCCAACATAGCTAATATTTCATTTAAACATTTTCAATAAAAATATAATTATCATTTCATGCACGTCAAAATGGGGTTGAAATACAATTCATGAATGAGAATGAATACAAAAAAGTTTTCCAGTTCTTTTCTCAAAACTGGTTCCAACGTGGGTTTTCTCTATGTATATGTTTATTTGTCGTCCTCTTGCAATGTGAATGGTTGTGATTGTCCAAAAAATCTGGGTTATATTTATTTTATTTATATACTACTCTGGGGTATTATTATTAATTTCCTTTACAGAATTATATAGGCAAGAAGAAGAACAGCAAAGATATTTTATGATATATTATTTTAAGGAATATTTATTATATAATATTTTTATATATATAATTGTGTGCATTTCTTTCTCTTTTTCTATATATTTAATATTGAAAACAAAATGTTAATAAATATGAAAAACACCGAATCAACAAAAACAGGTTTTGATTATAAGACTTGCAACGTTTTGTTAGCCTTGGACCAGCAATCACCGGAAATTGCCGCTGGAGTGCATGTTAATCGTGCTGAAGAAGAAATCGGTGCCGGAGATCAGGTGTGAAAATATGCAATAAAACAATTTTAGATTTCATTTCACGTCTTTTTTGTAAAAAAGAATTTGTAAATTTTTTCTTTGTTTTGTAACTTACCACCTCTATATTTTTCTTTTAGTTAATTTTTGTTTTTCTAACTAGGCCCGCTTTTAGTTTTCTTTTAGCTAGTCTGTATATCTGTCGGTTGTTGAATCTATATTTTTTGTATTTTTTTTTTCTTTAACTCAATTTGTTTTTTTTCTTTTGCCTATGCACACACACACATGTTCACTTGTATCACCCATTACAATAATAACAAATCAAAACAATTAAGACTTGTTATTTTTTAGAATATCAATTGGAGTTCAATTAGTTTTTGAATTTTCAAAATTCCATTAGAAAATAACAAGTTTTCTTCATATATTTAAATATATATTTTTTAGATATTAATTTCACTTTTTGGTGTTTGTGATATTAGAGTTTGACTCCAAATTTATTTGCCTTTTTTCAAAATTCTCAAAAATTGTATATCATAATAATATCTCTAGAAATTTTGGTTGAAATTGAAATTTGAATATAGTATAATTTTGTTTGACATACTTTAGTTGAGTGGCATGTTGGAGCCCTCTCTAAGGAGTTGGTGTCATACAGAATTGTATTATTTTAATTTTATTTATTGAATTTTATTTAAATATATATTTTTATTACTAATTTTCATATTTGTTTAATAATACCCAACTTATCATGGCTTTATTTCATCTGCTTTTTGCCTTAACCCGCTTTTTATTTATTTTTAATTTTTCTTGTTATACTAATCCTATTTGTGTAGTTAATAACATTTTGTGTATATAACATTTAGTTTTATTTTGTGGCATCGAAATGGTATCAGAAACAGAAGTATACAAATGGGGTTTGAAAAGGCCCCCAATAGAAGATTTATACATATAATTAGAGTGGTGTCATCCCAAATGTAATAAATTAAAGTTTAAATAAGTTTCATAATGCACGAACATAACATTCTGTTTCCAATACCACTTCGATCCCACATCGATAACCAAGCTTATTTTGTGTGTTTTTCTTTATCTTTATTTGTTTATATTTCTAATATTTGTTTGTATTATACATTTTTATTAATATGTTTCTTCTTTCTCTTCCTTACAAATAAAGGGTATTATGTTCGGTTATGCCACCGATGAAACCGAAGAATGCATGCCCTTGACCGTTGTATTGGCACACAAATTGAATGAGAAAATTGCCGAATTACGCCGTTCCGGTGACTTCTGGTGGGCCCGCCCCGATTCGAAGACACAGGTAAGATATTGTTATAAATGTTGAATGTCCGCGTTACAGACTACCAACACACAACATATACGCGTAGAGTAATTGCAATTGGTTCGCTTAGTGTGACCTACACACAGACTTGTATATATTGGTAGTTTTAAGTTTTCTTGTCTAGTGTGTAAGTTGTAAATAGTCACTCTCAATAAAGCCACCAGCCAGAGCACAAGTGTCCTTCCTTTCATCCACTAGAAGCAGTGAAAGAAAATGCGTTCAACAAATATTCGATTTTTTTGTAGAAAAAATTGTGCCGATTTTTATAATTTTGTAAAAGACTTGCGATTGGTGTTAAAATCGATAAACAAAGGACTTTTCCTCATTATCAATACGATTTGAGAATTTCTCTACATTGTTTGAAAAGTATCAAGAATTTGTGTCATCACTATCGGTTTCAGGAGAGAAGAGACTATGAGTGGGTGACGTCTGTTCCCCTGATATTTCAGGATTTTTCTTCATTATCGATACGATTTGAGAACTTATCCACATTGTTTGAAAAGTATCAAAATACTTGTGTCACCACTATCGGTTTCAATGATATAACTTATTATATTAAATACTTCAAACATCCTTATCCCATCGGAGAAGACAACCACGTCTTTCATGAAGAGACCATCTTTATGAGATCCACAGATCTTCTACAAGAAAACATTATTGTATTTTATGAAGAGATCGTTTCGTATTCTATGAATAAATCTTCTCGCTACTTTGAGAAAAACTTCCGGTCTTCTTTGAGAAAAATCTTCAGACTATGATGAGTGGAAAGAAAAGACCTCATGGTGTCCTCAGAAATACGTAAAACTTCCTAATCCTATCTGAGAAGGCATTCAAAATACCATCTGGAAATTTATCAGATCTCCAGATCTTCAAACAGAAAACATGGCATTAAAAAAAAACTTTTTGTATTCTATGATACCTTCTGGACATTTATAAATATATTCTTTGGGTATACTTTGATAATATCATCTTGTCCTCCTTGAGAAAAATATTCTTTTGAGAGGGCCTTTCGGACTTCCATGGAAAATCTTTCTGCTCTTCATGACAATACTTCCCTCTCTTCTTTAGGAAAAGACATTTCGGTCTTCTACGATAAGGCCGTTTGGTCCTCTACGGGTAGCGGATCTTCTAGGCTTATGTGAGAAGTCTTTCTAAACTTCTATGAGAAAAATTTTTTTCCTTCAATGTAGACCTCTGTGTCTGCTTTGAGAATACCTTCTGGTCCTCTTTGAGAAAAATCCTTTTTATACCCTTCACCACACTGTGGTACAGGGTATTATGTCTTTGTGCATATGTTTGTAACATGCAAAAGGAAACGAGATAGACCCATGGTTCCTTTTGAGAATATGCATAGAATCACTTTTTAAGTCGATTTATGCATGTCCGTCCGTCCGTCTGTCCGTCTGTCTGTCCATGTTAAATTGTAAACAAAGTACAGGTCGCATTTATGATCCGAATTGGATGAAATTTGGCACAGTTCATTTGTTTGGCCCAAGGACGAACCCTACTGAAATTGGGAAAAATCGGTTCAGATTTAGATATAGCTCCCATATATAGTTTCGTCCGATTTCATGTAAATAGTGCACCAAAGTCCCTATATGTTTTTCGATTTGCACGAAATTTGGCATAACGTACTGAATTGAGCCTAGAATGATGTCTGGTATGTTTCGTGAAAATCGGCCCAGATTTAGATATAGCTCCCATATATAGTTTCGTCCGATTTCATTAAACAGTGCACCAAAGTCCCTAACTATCTTTCGATTTGCACGAAATTTGGCATAACGTACTGAATTGAGCCTAAAATGATGTCTGCCAAGTTTCGAGAAAATCGGTACAGATTTAGATACAGCTCCCATATATAGTTTCGTCCGATTTCATGTAAATGGTGCACCAAAGTCCCTATATATCTTTCGATTTGCACGAAATTTGGCATAACGTACTGAATTGAGCCTAGAATTATATCTGGTATGTTTCGTGAAAATCGGTCCAGATTTAGATATAGCCGCCATATATAGTTTCGTCCGATTTCATGTAAATAGTGCACCAAAGTCCCTATATAGCTTTCGATTTGCACGAAATTTGGCATAACATACTAAATTGATGCTGGAATGATGTGTTTTGAGTTTCGTGAAAATCGATTCAGATCTAGATATATATATTTTCGCCCGTTTAATCTAAATAATGTACCAAGTTCTTATGTTGCATAGCGTTTTGAATTTAATCCAGAATGATGTGTGCCAAGTTTAGTGAAAATCGGTTGAGATTTAGATATCGCTCCCTTATATTATAGATTGATTTTAAGTAATTGACGCACCAAGGAACCAATACATGGCTGATAGGAACAAAACGTACTGAAATTAGTATAACCTAACCTGTGACAAGTTTCGTTGAAATCGGTTCATATTTGGATATAGCAACCATATATAAGTAAATTGTGCATCAAACTCCACATATTTGTTAGATTGACATCAAATTTTGCACAACGTACAAAGAAGTATAGACCTAGTCCAACGGATGATATTTGTTTGAAGTCGATTTACATACTTTTGTTCCATTGTAACAAATGAATTACATGTTTATGGATAGATCTAGGTCGTTTCACATTTAGATAAATATCACATATTTTATTTCATACAATTTCATGATAATAGTCCTGCTTAATATACCCATAGTGGTGAAGGGTATCATTTAGTCGGCCCCGTACGACTTTACTACTTTCCTTACTGGTTTGAGAGTGTCTTTTGAAATTCTATGGAAAAGATCTTCTGGTCCTCTACGAAAACAACATACGAGAATGCCATCTGGTTCTCTTTGAAAAAAATCTTCTCTTTCGGACTTTTCTTTTTGGTCTTCTATATACTTCCCCGTCCAGAAGGTCTTCTAGTTCTCTATGAAAATACATTTCGGTCATCTACGAAAAGTCCTCTATGAGTATTATGTGAGATTCTATGCGAATACTTTTAGGGCTTCTATGATAAGATCTTGTGCTTTTTATGAGAACACCTCCAAATATTGTATGAGATGACATTCTGGACAACTTCTTAAAATACCCCCTTTCCTTCTTTCTTCTTATTTTAGATCACCTGCGAATATTTGTTCAATCAAGGCGCTGCTGTACCCAAACGCGTTCACACAATTGTCATTTCGATGCAACACTCGGAAAAGATCACACTCGAGGATTTGCGTAGTGAGGTTATGAATAAAGTTGTCAAAGAAGTCATTCCCGCCAAATATTTCGATGCCAATACAATTGTACACATTAATCCATGCGGTTTGTTTGTCATTGGTGGACCAATGGGTGATGCTGGTTTGACGGGACGTAAAATTATTGTCGACACCTATGGTGGTTGGGGTGCTCACGGTGGTGGTGCCTTCTCCGGCAAGGATTACACCAAAGTAGACAGATCGGCCGCCTATGCCGCTCGTTGGGTTGCCAAATCATTGGTCAAGGCTGGTTTGTGCAAACGTTGTTTGGTCCAAGTGTCATATGCCATCGGTTTGGCTGAGCCACTCTCCATTACAGTCTTCGATTATGGTACTTCACACAAGACACAAAAGGAATTGTTGGAAATCATTCGGAACAATTTCGATTTGAGACCCGGTAAAATTGTGAAGTAAGTTTGAAAAAAAAAATTATTTGATTGGGATTTTGTTGTTAATTGTAATGTTGTTTTTTCAGGGATCTCGACTTGAAGAAACCCATTTACCAGCGCACAAGTACTTATGGCCATTTCGGCCGTGACGTTTTCCCATGGGAACAGGCTAAACCCTTGAACACCAATGGACTAGAAGCTGACCTGCAGCAGCTGCCTCAGCCACCGTGTGCTAAAAAGTCTAAAACCGCGTAATTTTTAGTTATAATTTTAAAATTTTACTATTCTTTTTGTCCTTCTCTTCTCTTTTATTATTATTATTTTTTTTATTATTTTAAACTATTAATTTGTATGTTTTATTCAAAATGATCTTAAAGTGAAATATTATCCGTTCTATTACATATTTGGCCAAGTACTACCCAAAATGAGAGAAAAAGATATTTTGGTTTTTTTCCTTCGTCATTTTGTGGTCCATCTTCTTTTAAACGTATTTCGCTTTAAAATTTATTTTGATAACTTTAAATTAATAAAACAAAAACTTGTTTTAGTTGCCCAAGAAAAAACAAAATATACCAACTATCAAGAATATAAAACTTAAAAAAAAAAAACAAGAAAAACCATAATAATACAAAAAACAAACTGCTAAACTATATTAAGTAAAAATATAAAATAAATATTTTATAAATTCATCGACAACCAACTACAACAAAGAAAAAAACCTCCAGATGTTTTAAATAAGCAAAGTAATTTATCAAGAATCGCCGTTGCCACCACTGCTGTTTGTATGTATGTGTAATTGTAAATCTCTTCTTATGGAGGTGGGCAAGCAACAAACACTTATGTTTTCAATATTTTTCGTTACACATTTACCCATGTTTTTTGAATTTTTTTTTGTATGTTAAGAAATCAATGCTGTTTTTGTTGTTTGTATATGTACTGCCCTGTTTATGTATTTGTGTATTGTTTTAAATTTCGCTCATATCCAAAGTCTAATTACAACGAAACAGCAGAAATTGTTTTACATATTTTCTTTGTATTATCTCCAATATATTTTTATTTTGTCTGTCTCTCTCTTTCCGCCATTAAATATTTCTCGCCCCCATTCTCTTTGGACATTTTAATATTTTATATACAATATATATTTTTTGGAAAAATACCAAGAAATTAAAATAAATTTAGACTACTTAAAAATTAAATCATTTGGTTATTTTATTTTTTTAATTTTTCATAAACTTAATATTCTTTATATTCAAACGGCCTTTAAACCTGCAGTTGCTGCGATTTAAATCTCTTTCTCCTCTGGCCTATATTTTTATAGCATCCAAAAAAAACCTATTTTCGAACTTAAAATGAGAAAGAAACAACATAAAATGAACTTGTGTATTTTGTATTTAAGGATAGTAGAAATTCCTTATAAGTTAAAGTAAAAGAAAAAAAAAACAATTATGAAAAAATACATTTTGATTAGATTACTAATTACAAATTACAACAGAAATAAAAAACAAGAAATAAAATATTTTTATGTTGTTTGAAAAAAACGCCAATAATGCAATTTATCCATAAACAAATGACTTCTATGTAAACAGAAAAAATCAAGTATAAATAAACAGCAAAGTTTTAAGAAAACAAAAAGAAATCATCCAAATTATATTCAGAAGAAAAAATAAAACAAAAATTACAAAAGATAAACAAAACAATTTCAATAAAAACAAATTACTTAAAAAACTCAAATCACCAATAGTTATTTTTTGGACAAAAATAATACATTTTTTTTTTGTACAGAAAAATAGTTTTAATTCAGTGATTTTTTATGTATTTAGGTTAGGTTAGTAGTTTGTCCATACTCTTCAGATTGTTTTGCCTATATTTCTAGGAATTGTTGGTTCTTAGCGAGTGAGTCTTTTCCATTTACACCCCTTTATGTCATTAGGGTCGTGAATAGTATCCGCATCCAATCTTGTGTAAATGTGCCTTCAAGTTGAGATGTCCTGTCAGTCTGCTTAGTTGTTTTTTTTTTTTTTTAACGATGATGATTTGATATGTAAATCTTCATTTGTCTACTAATCTAAACCGATTTCCACGAAACTTAACGCACATAATTTTAGACTTAATTAAATACGCTATGCCAAATTTCGTACAAATCGAAAGATATGTAGGGACTTTGGTGCACCATTTACCTTAAATTGGTCGAAAATATATATGGGAGCTATATATACATCTGAACCGATTTTGACGAAACTTAGCACACATCATTCTAGGCTTAATTCAGTACGCTGTGCCAAATTTCCTGCAAATCGAAAGATATATAAAGACTTTGGTGCACCATTTACCTTAAATCGGACGAAAATATATATGGGAGCTATATCTAAATCTGAACCGATTTTTACGAAACTTAGCACACATCATTCTAGACTTAGTTCAATACGCTGTGCAAAATTTCGTGCAAATCGAAAGTTATATAGGAACTTTGGTGGATCATTTACCTTAAATCGGACGAAAATACAAATGGGAGCTATATCTAAATCCGAATCGATTTTCACGAAACTTAGCACACATCATTCTAGACCTAATTCAATACGCTTTGCAAAATTTCGAGCAAATCGAAAAAATATATAGGGACTTTGGTGCACTACTTACATTAAATCGGACGAAAATATATATGGGAGCTATATCTAGATCTGAACCGACTTGACACACATCATTTTAGCGTAGTGAATTAACGATATTCCAAATTTCATGCAAATCGAAAAATATATAGGGATTTTTGTGCACCATTTACATTAAATCGGACAAAAATACAAATGGGAACTATATTTAAATCCGAACCGATTTTCACAAAACATAGTACACATCATTCTAGACTTGATTCAGTACGCTGTGTCACATTTCGTGCAAATCGCTGTACAAAATGTTGTGTTCATTGGCCATATCTTGGAGCTTTGCTGAACGATTTATTTAAAATCGGACGTAAATCCGAACCGATTTTTCCCAATTTCAATAGGGTTCGTCTCTGGGCCATGTAAATGAGCTGTACCCAAGTTATTTTGTATTGTATTGTATTTTGTTTACAATTTAAGATGGACAGACAGACGGACATTTATAAATCAATTCAGAAAGTGATTCTATGCATATTCTCAAAAGGAACCGTGTTTCTATCTCGTTTCTTTTTGTCTGTTACAAACATATGTACAAAGTCATAATACCATGTACCACAATATGATGAAGGGTATAAAAAGCATGGTCATGTTCTGGGGGGTTGAAATGAATGAAAGACCTTGGTGAGTATATGAGAGACAGTTCTTGCTTTCAAAATATAGGTCCATATTCCTATATAAAAATCCAGCCTAATTTAGATGTGTTAATGGTCTTAGATCACCTATACTCCGTCAAATTTGTTATTGTAACGACAAACCACATTTATTCTCGTCTTATTTTGACCTGTCGTGTATCATGAGAGTGGGAAAATATTTAGGGAGTATTTAGAACAAGGCCAACTTTCCAATGAGTTCTTATAATATTGAAGATTTTTTATATCGCCCTTTTATAATTTTTTTAATACGTAGTTTATCTTGCATCGAATTTAAGAAGAACTGAAATCATTTAATTTACGTAAAGTCGTTATACTTTTATCTGAATACATCAGCTATTACTCACTAGACGGTTTCATTTTTCATTAATATACAAAGTTTAACTATAGTTCACTAGATGGCGCAACTGCTTAATCAAAACTGTATCAAACAAAGTAACACAGATATCATGTGCAATATATTAGGTTGAAGGAAAAGAAATCCATTATTCTAAAATGAATTATAGTATTTTTTATAACATACTTCGGAATGACGATTTGGGCCAAATGTGCACCGTTTTCTTGTATGATTTCTTGCCATTTTAAATGTAACTTCATAATGCATCTCTCATAGATGTCCTGCTTTCTATTTGCAAAAAACTCTAGTAGTCGATTTTCACAATCCTCCTTAAATACCAATTTTTTATTATTAAAGAAATTTTGCAATGCAAGAAAAATATTATAATGGCTTGGTGACAAGTCCGGACTGTATGGCGAATGCATTAAAACATCCTAACCAAGCTCCCGAAGTTTCTGGCGAGTCACTGTAGCGTTGTCCTGGTGGAACACGACACATCTCCTGTTTGTTAATGGTTTAAAACAGTTTTATGGTTGATTTTTAGCTCCTGGGCGATGTTACGACTGCTAATATGCCGGTCAACTTCGATCATTTCTCCGATTTTATCGACATTTTCGACGACCGGTCTACGTGTGCCAGGTGTATTTTTAACATAAAAAATTTCTGAACGGAATATACGAAATCAAAATTGCACATAATCGGCTGTTACAGTATCGGAACCATAAACACCATAAACACCATTCACAATTTTAGCCGCTTGGCTTGCAAAGAAAAACTGTAAAATTTATCGAATATTCTATTTGTTCACTTCCATTTTTAACACCCCGTAACTCACAACTGAATGAACTAAAAAATAAATAAATAAAAAAAAAAAAACAGTAAGGAAAGATCAAAGACCACTTTGGGTACATACAAGAGATGATAATGTGTAAAATATCCTGTATATAGAAGAGACATAGCATCTCTGGAAGACCATTGAAATCGAATCGGACGAAAAAAAATCTGTGATCCACATAGATATTTTAACCAATAAAAAACTATATACATACCATTCTAAAATCTATGAAAAAATTTCATGTCGATCGGGCAGACTTCATTTTTTTGGTGTAACATTTGTATGAAATCCAGCCAAATTATGTATGTGAGCTATATGTAAATCTGAACCGATTTAAAAAAAATGGACTTTAATCAGTATGCAGTGCAAAATGTTGTCTCAATCGGATGAATATTGGGAGTTTGGTTCGCCATTTACCTAAAATCGAACGAAACTATATATGGGAGCTATATCTAAATATGAACCGATTTCAACAAAACTTCGTGCAAAATTTCGTCTCAATCGGACCAATATTGGAAATATGGTGCTCCATTTACATAAAAACGGACGAAAATATATATGGGAGCTATGTCTAACGCTGAACCGATTTTCTCCAATTTCAATAGGGTTCGTCTTTGGAACAAACAAGTGTCCTGTGACAAATTTTGTCCAAATCGGATCATAAATGCGACCTGCACTTTGTTCAGAAAAATACGTGGACGGACAGACTGACATACATAACAATTCTTTGAATTCTTTTGCCTCTTACAAACATATGTACAAAGACATAATACCCTATACCACAGTGTGGTGAAGAGCAAAATATTTTTTATACCCTTCACCACACTGTGGTACAGGGT